GCATTTTGGATGTCTTCAAAAATGATAGGTGGGGCTTAGAAAGGGAAAAAGTGATATTGGTTACTTATAGTATTGGGCCCTTTGATTGAGATGAGATAGGAAAAGGGCCGACAAGTGTTCATCCCACATGACTTTGTCCATACACGCAACAAATGGGCCCATAAACCCAGCACACGATACGCACTAAGCCCATTAAACTTCTTGTTGGTTGTTCAGACTTATAGTGTAACCAATAAATCACTGGCACTCTTTTATCCGTGCACATGCACGGACGATGTCAAATTTAATTATACTAAGTATTATAATACAATTAAATTAAAATGAACTGTTATTAATTGTGAAATTCTTTTATCATACACGGCATTATATTTATGTCGGCTGGTCAATACTTAATTTTTTTCAATTGGCCACTTTTAAACCATTGAGTATAATTGGTTATGTTTGCAACTTTTAATCACCAAAATATTACCTATTAAACTTAGGGACACACATACAAGTCAATATTGACAACCTTATATATAGGACTCTTATGCTTTATTGTTAGGTGGTGAATTTTGTATAAGTTAGGTTTAGGTTTTTAGGTGAATTTAATAGGACTCGTACGCTTCCCTACATCAACACAAGATTTAATAGTTAGCCACCCAAATAACATCTGAATATAAATACAACCACGTCTCATTATTTTGTACCCGAGTTTTAAGTATAACATCAACATAATTTTTCATCATCAAGAAAATGTATATCTGCACTACAAAAACATAAACAACAGTAATGAACATTCACACACTAACATAGCGGGCAACTCTTGATTGTGCTAAGACTGCGCGCATGCGCACAGTTCAGATCATAAACGGATTCCATCATCAGTTATGTAACAACGTTATATTATATATCTACAGAATTGTAAAACAAAAATGAAAAAGATGGTGAGCTTGCAGATACGTAATAGCATTTCAAGTAGTTGATTTGAGCATCCATGTAATATATTACAAAATAGTGCTTGCCAGGAAAACTTTCTACACCTGTTTTCAAAAACTGAAAACGGTATCAGTGAAGGAGTTTTCTTTTGGCAGATCGTGATATAAGTGAAACAATCACATTTTATTTTTTTAATCTCAATTTTTGCAGAAAAACTGTCAACACCCATACAATTAATGCAACTACGAACAATTTATAATTTCACGGAAACAAGAACTGAGCAAGGAGTGATTCTACATTTTTCGCTTTAGTTCCAAAAATGTAAAGTTTGGAGTACTCTCCAAAATGCTACCAAAAAATCCCAAGGAAATGCAACTGTCTCCCATATACGTTTCTAAAGAAATAGACAAATTCAGCCAATAGCAGCCACGGCATTTAACTACAAAAATTTCTGCAAAAAAGCCAAACTCAGGTACCCATTAGCAGCAACATAATATCTAGAATCTTGTATTATCATACATCTATCAGTGAGTGCAGCCTTTTTCGGAATATAGATACTTTACTAGCTTCGATAGCCATCACCAGACCCATCAACCGATAATCTTTAAGCTGCAGTGTGAAGTCATATCAGCAAGAGACTAGAGAAAATAAGCATGATTAACTGCCAATTTAATAAAATCAAATAAATTTGATATTTTGTTCATATTATTCTTGAATGTAATGCAGGTTATCATTGGCTTGTTTTGATGAGTACACTGGCTGACATTAATAGCTACAAAATATGTAGAATATCACATGTACAGTGAAATAACTCCGCCTATGTTGTCTCAACATAGCAGGTCCCAAGCCCTGGTAAAGGAGGAGGGTTGTGATAGGCTTGGCGAGCCAACGTAAAACCTAGCCGTTCTATGGAGATGAAACACATGAGAAATTCGTTGGGGCGTAACCTCTTTTACCGATGGTTCTCTTGGGTTTCATCTCTAGCCTACCCTGACTTACTTGGGACTAAAGGCTATGTTGTTGTTGTTGTTTGTATCACATGTACAGTGAAATGAAGAGACTTGCCTCATTATCTGTGACCTTCTGGGCATGCAAGGGAAATATGAAGGACCATATACTAAGCTGCAGAAGCATTTGAAAACAAGGGTAGATTTAGGAAACAGAAAAGACTGCTGTAGAAACAGGGAGACAATATTGTACCTCATAGAAAATTTCGTCTTCTGGTTTCACATAAATTACATTTTCCTCTCCAGTTTTAGTCATCCCTTTATTCTTGTCTGCATTCTTGTGCTATTAGCAATGCATACAAACAAATTATCAACGGTTGTGGATTTACCCAAAAAATCCAATGGCATACGTTTAATGAGAGCTAGACCAACAACATACCTTGTATATTTTGCTAATAATCAGATAATATTTGAAGCGGAAGGAATTCTGGAGCTCCTTTGTCGGCTTTAACAGGTAAAAACAGAAGTACATAAGCACATAACAGGAAATGATATCAATAAACATAAAAAATGCATTCAAGATATAGAAGTAATCTTGAATGTGACAATAAATATAATAATCCATATATGTAACCTCATCTTCAGTTGCCCACTCCACCTCATCAAAGAGAGCATCATAAAGAGGCGGTAAAAGCTGAGGTGGAAGATTTACAACACGCTGAGAGATCATAAGACCAACATCCTCTGCATGCTCTCCAACTAAAGACTTGAGTTTAGCTATTATATCCATATTCCGACACACTTTAAGAAGGTAATCCTTCAGCTCAATGATACATTTGCTATCCTGATACAAACCAAAGATCAGAAGAAAGATTGAACTTCAAAATTCCGAGTTGTCCCAAACATGGAATAACTATGCTTGTCTAGTTTAGACTTTAACTAACACACAATATGAAAACACCATTTGCTACAATCCCTAGAAAATTGTACGGATAGCCAATTAAGGACAGAAATATAATTAAACACCAAATACTAAATTTCTTGCCTTATATCTTCCTAAATTAAGAGCAGTAACAAAGGAATATGTTCCATCATCTTCGTCATTCTCTATCTTGACCACACTCCCCACAGTTGGCTGTCCCAATATCAAATCTACAAAGCCACTGAGATCCCACACCTTGTTATCAAGGTATGTCTGCAGAAGGACCTTCACTCCATGAAAATCACTAGGTTTCGGATCAAAGAAGACAAAGTCCGCTTGAACAACTCCCTTATTGAAAAAAATACTGGATTAATTAGTTTAATCTGATGAAAAAAATGTCAACTGTGGAGGAAGAAGGTGAACAAACCAACCTCGGATTCTTCACTATCAGAAGAGTCACAATGTTCTCTTTTATCCTTGCCCTGGTCTAGAAATGCATTATTTTTTTCAATAGTCACTAATCACTATTAAGAATTTGACATGAAAAACCTCAACACGCACCAGGAAATGAAATCACAGAGCAAGAAATTCAAGAGAAGAGCATACCAGCCGAATTTGTAGAATTTTTGGTTTCCTCAATCTCCCGCCTGGCCTTCTTGCTCGAGGCCGCCATAGCCATTGACCGAGCAAATGGTGAGAAAGTGAGTGGCCGATGTCTCTGTGACAGTTGATTCCGTTTTGGTCTCCTTGTCATACTGTCAAATTGCAGCAAATTGGCCAACCAGACAAAATGAACCCTAAAAAAGAGTCTTTAATTTTCTTTTTCCCAGCATTTATCCAAATAAATAGAAACTTGCCAACAAAAATCAGTGTGAACCCGCAAAAAAACTAAGTCTAACACGATGAACAATCCTTTGTTCTCTCGATAGATTTTTTCCCAGTACTCACCTACTATGTGAATTTCCTGAAACTAAACTTGAGCAGCTAATATGATTCAAACAAGTTGGGTTTAGCATAAACATTTCACAAGTATTTCTGATTGATTCAATTGGGCAATTGAGTGGGCCGATTCGGAAGTAGGAACTTACCTCCTTGGAGCTTTGGCTGTGACACCAAGTTCGTCGTGCCGGCTGCGGTTGGCGTTTGCCGAGCGGAGATAGGCCGTGGACCGAGCGCCGGAGGCGTGAAGCTACTTGTGTGCTCCAATTTTCTGTGCTCTGGTTTCTGTTTTCTCTATTATAGTAATAATTAGGCTGGACTTACTCAGGCCCATTAGTCTGGTAAAGTCACCGAATCACACATCTATTTTTCGTTTCGGCCTTTTTACAGATTTGAAAGTCATTAATTTGTTTGGCATCTTATGTTAAGAAGAAATTACCCCACCCACCATCAAAATCAATTTTATTTATATATATGCGCATCTTATTTTTTATTTGTAAGTATACCAATACTATAATTCTTATTTGTACGGATACAAACATTATTTATCTCCTCTTTTCCTTTTTCTTTTTCCTTCAATTATCCATCTCTTCTCCTTCCTCCATTATTCATTCTTTATTTATTCGATTCTGCAAATCAGATCTCTACCGAATTAATGCCCAGATCGTCGGATTTTCTGCCAGCGGGACAAAGATGAACTGATGAACTCTGCCCTAATAATGCCCAGATCTGTGCAGCGCCTGCTTTTGGTGGTTCGCACGTGGCCAGTTCTAGGCGGTCTAATCGGGTTCATGAACGGCCCGGTGGTGATGCTTCGCAAGGAGGTGAAGTTGGAGATGACGAAGGAGATGATGAAGATCGGGCTCATTGCGATGTCGATAGTATATGTTGTGTTTATATACAGTATATTTTCAGTATATGTTCCCGTCGACATAATCTCACAATTTTCTTGTGAGCAGATAGTACTTGTTTCATTGTTTATATGAACTATTTCTTTGTTTATATACAGTATATTTTCATTATATGTTCCCGTCGACACAATTTCAGTGACGCTATGACAATTTGCTAGTGAGCAGATAGGATTTGTTTCATTGTTTATATGTCGATAGTATATGTTGTGTTTATATACAGTATATTTTCAGTATATGTTTCCGATACAATCTCAGTGACGCTATGTTTTTTTATCGTATATTTTACAGAACTATTTCTTGATCATGACAGAAATAACGTTGCTCCCGATTTTTGTTTGGAATATTTGTTTTAGTATATTTGTTTGGAAGATGATGATGTTTATAGTTCAAAGTTAAACTCTTTCAATTTTTTCTATCAATCCGTTAAACATTAGTTAATAATATATATTCTTAAGTGAGATGGCATAAGTGAGTTTTTTTTTTTTTTTTTTTCCTTTGAGGAGAAAGAGAGAGAGATGATTTGTTATGCGAGATTTAATTTGTTATTAGTTATTTACATGTTTAAGTTTTTTTTTCTTTTTTTTATGATGAAGAGTTCCGTGAAAAATGGAACTGAATCTTTTTAGATTTGGTAACAGATAATCTAGCATAAATACAAATAAAAGCCATTGATTTCGT